AGCTTCCAAAGGAACAGAGGAGAAGAGGGCTTCTCTTTGCAACTGGCCTGGGAACGAGGAAGTACACTCATTGACCTAACACGTTTATGTTGTCATGCACAATCAACTAATTTGTTTCCCATAACAACATTTTGTACAGTCAACATTAGTGGAATGGACTTTCCTCAATTTCTAACTTAATGCACGTCCAGGAGATGTGTGACAGTGTGTCTTCTACAGAACAGAACATTCCACTACATGTATCAAAGCACGACTAATTTGATTCTTCAAATCTATACTATTGATCAGCATTCAGCTTGTTTGCGGTTCCAGTTGTATGTTTTGTAGAGTGTTGTACACACTTACACAGCATTTCTATAAGACCTATGTGGTTTTTTCTTCAACTTACAAGCCTATGTAAAATGTAAATGAATAAATACATGCAGCTCCCTAGGCTCCTGGTGCACAGCTAATACAGCTGTTGGCATTACAAAGATCACTCACTACTGAAAGCTATTGCTGAACTTTCACAATTCTCTTCTTTGATCTAACAGAACCTTAAATACACAGCATTTCTATAAGACCTATGTGGTTTTTTCTTCAACTTACAAGCCTATGTAAAATGTAAATGAATAAATACATGCAGCTCCCTAGGCTCCTGGTGCACAGCTAATACAGCTGTTGGCATTACAAAGATCACTCACTACTGAAAGCTATTGCTGAACTTTCACAATTCTCTTCTTTGATCTAACAGAACCTTAAATCTAGGCCCAGGATACACACGCCAACTGTAGGGAATAATTCCAGACACACTGGGTGCAGGTGAAAACGAGCAGAGAATTTATTGAACACCAGCACTGGTGGAGTACCAACCAGGGGTTAACCTGGAGAGCACTAACTTAATCAAAACATACATTAGATTATATAGGCAGCAGATGGGCAGAGGGGGAAGTGATTTGAGAGGTCTAGCGGTGGAAATTAGATGAGCAGATAATCCAATGAACTACGAAGGTTACACAGTATCTCCGCCCATTGCCAATTAAACATGTTATCACTAATACAGGTAGTTATTTCTAACAAGCTAAATGAGCCAACATAAACAAACAGACATGTTGATGGGAACTTGTTTTGCTGAAATTGTGATGTGTCTACTGCGAGATGACTACTTCATTGCGTTGGCACTGTCCTTGGGATCCAAGCTTATTTATCTGCAATTACAGGAGACAGAGGGAGAAACCGCACAGAGTGAGGTCCCTTTGGAATGTAGGTGCTAGGGGAACCAGGGTCACGGTAACTGCCTGACTGTAACTTCCCAGGCCTGGCCTAATGATTTAGGATTTGAGTTCTCAGTTCTCAGCAAGATACCATGGACTGCTTCAGTTTACCCCTACATCCACGCAGGCCTTGCCCCACTTCTTCCTCCTTCCCCTGGCCCACCCTTATCCCTGCCTTCATTCTGCCGCCACGTCCCCAAAGCCCCCCAGACTCCTCCTCTGGGGCAGAGTGGGGCCAGTGGCTGCTGCACATCTCATCCTCCTGAAATGTGAGACCAAGCACAGGGCAACCACCCCGAGGCATCCAATGGATGGGGCTGTTCAGACTGGGTGCCAGTGGGTCAACTGAAAAGGAGAAAGTTACTCACCTTATGCAGTAACAATGGTTCTTCAAGATGCATCCCCTTAGGGTGGTCCACTGTTGGTGCATGTACATCCCTGCTCTGCTGACTGGAAAACTTTGGTAGCAGTGTCTTTTGGACCTGTGCACGTGCTGTGCCATGAGGGTAGCCAGCAAGCATGGAATGGAAGGAACCGTCGTTAGTTCCTTCTCTACTGCAGATTCATAAACGAGAACTCTGAAAGGAGGGGAAGAAAACAGATTGCGGAATACCCAAAGAGGGACACATCTCGAAGAACCATCATTACTGTACAAGCTAACTTCTTTTTTTGCATGGTGTGCCTACAGGGCGCTCTCTTGTAGGTGACCTCTGAGTTGCAACACTTCCGGAGAGTAGGACTTGGGAGTAGGGTCCATAACAGATGAAAGTGTTATGGATCCAAAGATAGCATCAGAGACGGAGTCCCTAGCGATGGCCGTGAAAATTTGGGCTGATGCCCATGTCACCACTCTGCATATCTGAGACAGGGACATCATTAAAGAAGGTAACAGATGAGATCAGTTTTGTGGAATGTGTACAGAGAAAGTCATGAGGAATCATGTTATGAATTCGGTAGCACTGTCTGATGTCCTTTGAGACCCACTTACATGAATATTTGGGCTGATACTGCTGAATCTTTATATCTTTTCTCTATAGATAGGAACAGTTTAGAGGACATCCTGCAGGCGCTTGTCTCTATTGAGGTAGAATGCTGAAGCACCCCTGACATCTAAGGTACGCAGTATGACCCCCAACTCTCTTGGTGGAGGTTTGGAGTAGAAGATGGGAAAGTAGGTTGACTGGTACATGTGCACATTAGGATTGAACTTTGGATGCTGCCTGAACATAATTTTGTCAGGGAAAAATAAAGCAGGGGATGTGCCATCAGAGCTATCTATCATCCTTATGCTTCTAGCTGAGGTAATTGCTACCATAAAGGCCATTTCCATCAATAGGTAGGACAGTGAACAGATTGCTATAAATGTGAAGAGGAACCAGGTCAGCCCTTTTGTGATGAGGTTTAGGTCTCAAGGGGATAAGGAAGCAGAGGTTGAAGGAAGAGATTCCTTATCTCTTACGGAACCTTTGTGGGTCAACACAATACCACCGAGTGCCACTCTATGTTGTTAGTGAAACAATATGATAGCTAATTAGAGTCTGAGGGTAAGTCTAAACTGCACTTTTTCGGCCCTGTCTACACAGGGCCAAATTTCAGTAAACTCTCCTCTTTTGGAACATCCCTTATTCCTCTCAGCAAGAGGAATACAGGGATGTGGAAAGAACATGCTTGTTTTTTCGGAAACTTCTGAAAACGAAGATGTGTTCCCTAGATGTAAATTTTTTCCAGGATACCTTTGGTATCCCGGAAAAACTCTGCAGTCTAGACATAGCCTGAGAGAGTTCAGGAATAGCCCCAGAATAAGGTCAGAGCATGTCCAGAATATGAGGAAAAGTTGATATCACTGGAGAGACTTGATGGGAAATGAACCAAATCTGAATTTGGACCACTGCTGCAGATGAGTGCATCCCATAGCACACTTTCTACAATGTAACAAAGCTTCTCTTGAGCATGAGTTTTCTAGGCACTGGAACCACATGGAAACCACCCTTTGAGGCAGAGAATCTCCAAGTTGAGATATACTGTATACCCTTTGCCCCGTGAGAGGAGGCGTGAAACCAGGTCTGTCTTAGACAAGTAAGAGCAATAAGGATTATGTGAGCTCTTGATCTTTGCAAAACCTTCAACAGAAGAAGAAATTGAGGGAAGGCATGAAGGTTTCTGAACCAAGGAGGAGAAAATCATCCCATCCTTACTGTGGAGCAGTATTGTGGACATTTCTTGTTCTGGAAAGAGGCAAACAGGTCTGTAGCTGGTGTTCCCTACCATCAGGGCAAGTTGTCAAGTACTGATGAATCCATCTCCCAGTTGAGGTTATGTGGGTATTTGTGACTGAGCTGGTCTATCAGTTTCTGTGTGTCCCTAAGGTAAGCTATGGACAAAGGTGACACTGTTGAAGATATACCAACTCCATAGCTTCATCACTTCTGGGCACAAAGAGAGCAATCCGGCCCTTTGGGCAGTTGATGTACTTATAGGCAATGTTGTCTGTTAGGATTTCTCTAGCTGATCCTACTGTAAGCAAAAGAAAATGGTACATATTCCTGACCACTCTATTTGAGAAGATTGATATGAAGGGATATTGCCATCTGTACCCATCTGCCTTGCATGTGAGACCGAGACTACACTCCCATCCTATGAGCAAAGTGTCAGTAGCAAGGGATAATGAGGGTGAGAAAAGAATCATTTTTGTATGCATTGGCCGAGTTCTTCCATCAGTCCAGGGAGTTTTTGATCTTGGGAGGTAGTGATAGGTGTTTGTCCAGACTATCTAGGTAGGAAATTACATATAGTAGTAAGAGCTTTCAAGTTGAAAGGCCAAGCACTCAAAAGTTAAGAGCCAGAATTAAGGCTGTCTATGCAAACTTAATTTAGCCCCCCCCCCTAAAATGATTTTATGACAACCCCTCAAACTTGTTAACAGTCTATTTTCTCAATATAATAGACATATAATAATATACATATGTATATTATTATATGTCTATTATATTGAGAAAATAGACTGTTAACAAGTTTGAGGGGTTGTCATAAAATCATTTTACAGGCACAGGTTGGGGGGGGGGGGGGGAAGTTAAAG